CTCAAAAATGTTAGAACCTTCCAAATTAAGAAATTTTAGAACTTTTTTTATGATAGAGTATTTAAGAATTTTTTTTAACTCCTTATCTAATTTATTTTTAATTTATCATGATTATTTTATAAATTAAATTTTAATATTTTTAAAATAAATAATGAATAGATAAAATAATCTTGTGATAAAATATAAATTATTTCTTATAAAATTTAAAATATAATTTATATATAGTTAAATATTTATTATATATAGTTAATTTTTTTCATAAATTATATATAAATAAATATTATATTTAATTATATAAAGTATATTTAAAGTTTAAATAAATATATTATATATATAATATATTTTATATTTATAATAAATAATTTATATTATAGGACAAAATTACTTTTAGTTATTAATATTTTATTTTAAAAAATTTAATTTAATAAATAAGAACATATTTTAATTCGTGTTACTAATTAAGAAATCAAATATCATGTTGGCACTTCAAGTATATTTAGGTGTCGTCGAGTGCTTACACTAATCCTGGATATGCTTTCATACGTTTTCTTCAATTTAGCGAAAATAAGATTTTGAACTGTAATGTCACATTTAGAACCATCAATCCTGAAAAGACTTGTTATTTTTTCTCCATTTCTATGGTTAATGCATATTATCAACTAAGTTGCTAGAGGTGAACAAGGAAAGGCCATTCAGAACCATTAATCCTGAAAAGACTTGTCATTTTCTCTCCATTTCTATGGTTAATGTATATTACCAACTAAGTTGTTAGAGGTGAACAAGGAAAGACCATTCAGAACCTCTTATTACTGTCAAATAATAATAATAAGAAGAAAAAGTCAACCAATGCAGCTTTCACCTACTTAAACATAAGATCATATTAAATTCATTTTTATTCCGTAACACATAAATACAATAAAATCTTTCACATATGTTAATACCTCTATGTGAACGAAATTAAGTGTGTTTAATTTATCATTTAAAAAGTACTTATGAGAATTTACTTAATATTGAATAATTGTTCATGTAATTTGGTACATTGAAAAATTTACTATAACAAGTTTACATGCCCATTTTCGTGAGTACAAGTTACTAACTCTTGCTTAAAGTGTAAAACACATTTTATTATTTACTAATTACAAATAATGTAAGACTTTTTTTTCTTTTGGAATACCACACACATATATGTACAAGATTAAGAATACAAGTATGTTACTGTTTCATAAACTTATGTAAGTCAACTCATGTTACTAAACATGATACGTAGTTTGGCATGAAAGTAGCACACATAAATTTGCAATCAATCATTCATCATGAGATAAAAATACATGAAAATGGGCAAGAATACAAGGAACAATAAACAAAAGCTAATTAACATCTCACATCATTCAACATGGATATATTAGAATTCACCCCACAGCCTTTAACAAATCAACAAGCTGCATAATTATAATTAACCAGGCAATGAAGAATGAGATATAAACAAGTACGTGAAGTCAATGACGACTAAGGACGTAATCCCAAGAGAATGGTTTAAAAACCTGAGGATCCTTAGACTCCATGAAACTCAAAAGACCCTCAAAAAGGTGCATATAAACTAACCAATCACCATTCCCAATAGGAGAAGGCATTGGCATGACGTAACCAGCATCTCCACCCCATGGAAAATGGTACGATGCAAACACAGGCTTCCCCCACCCAAAGTCAACCTTTGACACAGGGAACCTTTGTCCAGAAGAAACCACAAAACGAGGTCCCTCTTCATTTTCATGGCCACAATAGATCCTAGCAACCCCAGGGACAGGTCGGTGTGCCTCCACCCAATCAACAAGTCCCAAAAAATGCTCCTCTGTCACACCCATCTCCAAAAACTCGTGAACTTTCTCCGCCACCCAACTCAACGGCTTTTCAACAAGCTCCTCCACCTGTTTCCCACCGTAGGGGATTGAAAGCACGTTACCGAAATACGAACCCATGTTCTTGTCGCCATTGCTCAGTCTCTTCCTTCCATCAACCACAACACCCATCTTCGCAACAACCTTTCTCTGACCATCAACACCAGCAGCAGCAGCTTCAGCAACCGTCTTCCACAAGAAGGCGGAGAAAGACTGGAGCCTTGTGCGCTTCACACCGTTTGAGCTAGCGAGCGCCTGCATGCGGTTCAGGTGGTCGCTTGTGACGTAGTATATGCGACTAATGAGTGGTTCAGATTGAACTCCGAACTTAGGAGGAGGTAGTGCAGCCATGGGAGCGTACATGTCATGAAGTGAAGGGTGGTCAATGGAAGGTGGGCGTCGTGGGAAGAGAAGGGACCGTCGGAAACAAGGATGGGCCGAGATTATGGGCTTGTTGGGCTGGGCTATCTCGGCCCATGATACGAGGAACATGTTCGCAGAATAGGCGTCACCTATGCGATGGTCCAGAGCACATGCCACTACTAAACTCCCACACTTGAGACCAGTTGCCTGCAAAATTCCAAATATATAAATATGTGATTAATGTGTCTTCCTTTATGTTACAACAATTTTTAATTATTTAATATAATAAAACTTGTGTTGTAACTTGTACGTGCATGTTAATTTACTTAATTTGTAGCACCTGAACAGCGAGGACACCATGCTTCTTTTTGGGCACAAGCTTCCCTTCAATGGTGTCATCTGGGTTGTACATGTTGAGACGGTGTAGTTCCACGTCAGCCACAGCTTCGACAAAATCTACACCGCGGTTACTGCAAAACAGTTCAGGCTCACCCGTGGAGTTGGTCACCACTTCACCCGCAAGAGGGTAGTAGTAAACTAGAGCCTGAGCCAAGGCATTTTTGAGGGACCCTACCATGGAAGGAAAGGACATTGACGAAGGATTTTTGTAGCAAATGAAGACACTAAAGTCGAGTGGGGGAATGAGAAGATCAAGGTTAGATAGTGGGAGCCAGTGCTCTTGCATTGGAAGCTCTGGTGCCACCACCTCCACCTTGCTCACACTCACAATGAATCCTTCTCCCGAAACCATTTTTTGGAAATAAAATATGAAGACTATCAACTATTAATGAAGGGTTTTGTTTGGCTTATTGAGGCACACAAGGTATAAGGGTCGTCCTATGAATTTAAAGGAAGTGGCCTAGAGAGATATGCATGCATGGTCGTACGCGGGCTAGGGTTTGTTAGTCCCTAGTGGGGGTATCTTATCATTTATAGTCGATGTCAATGTTAGTTGAGACTCGATATTGGATAAAATTTACATCATTTTCATTATGAAATCACATTTTCTTTTACTTTCCTGGCTACACTTTTACATGCTTGGACAACATCGTATTTTCCACTGTAACTCACTGCCACAATAAGTTGGAGTCTCGAATTCTGTTTTGTATCCTCCTCTGCACTAGCTATCATTGTCTTTAGAGACTCCGGGAGCTTTGATGAATCTCCAATTACTGATATTCGAATTCCTTCCCTAAAACAAAGGATAAAATATTTGGTTATGATCACAACAATCAAACCAATATATAATTTTAATATATTTTTGGTCTTTCAAATAGGTAAGTTTGTTCTTCTTTTTTTTTCCTTCAAATTTAAAATAATCTTTTTAGTCATTAATTTAAAGAGAAAAAACTTAATTTATATGTTCAATTATTGTTAATAAATCGACTAAACAAAATCCACTTATTATTAACAATGTACACTCTTGATTGTTATTCGTTGGTGAAAATATTATAATAAATTTAATTAATGTTACATGATTGACTTAATTTATTTGGTCAATGATGCTGCATGTTATTATGAGAGACCAAAACAACTTTTTCTTTTTAAATTGTAAGCATAGTTTTAAAAATAGGACCGGTTATCGAACCGGTTAAGGTATTAGGTCAGTGGGTCAAAGGTTGAACCGGTGGGTCCGGACCGGTCATCGAACCGGTTAAGGTACTGGGTCAGTGGGTCAAAGGTTGAACCGGTGGGTCACTAGTTGAACCGCATGACTCGATTTTTATTAAAAAATATTTATATTAAATATATTTTATACTTATAAATTTTAATAAATTCATATCTTATTTTAAATTTCAATTTTTCTATCTTATTTAAAATTATTTTTATTTTTATTTTGTAAAAAAATACATAAAAAAATTACATGTTAAACGGTATATTAATACAAATTAAAAATATAAATAATATGTACATATATAATATGCTTGCAATTAATATCACAAAATAATATATGTAATATTTACATAGATATTGAATTATTAAATATATAATTTAAAATTAATAATATACTATAAAAGTTATTTAAGTTGTATATATTGCAAACAAATATATTAGAACAAGTAGTCATTGTTATATTTAATAAGACTCCTTGCTTTTTCATTAAGAGATTCAATTTTCATTATTATTTTTGTGATTTATGATCCCTTAAAAAAATTATAAAAAAAAAAAGCGGTTGAACCGGTTTGACCCACCGGTTCACCGGTTGAACCGGAAAATTGACCGGTTCAATCCGGTTTGAAACGGGTCGACTGCATAACCGATCTAACTTCAGATTCGGACCGACTGGATTGAACCGGGTCGACTGCATAACCGATCTAACTTCAGATTTGGACCGGCTGAACCACCGGTTCCCGGTCCAACCGGTCCGACCGGCCGGATTGGTCCGGGTTTTAAAACACTGATTGTAAGTATTAAAAAAATTCATTTTAAATAAAAAGACTAAAAAAGATATATCTCAAATTTAAGAGATATTTTAATTAACACCCTGCAGGCTGCATCGAAAGTGGTTGTAAGTTCGTAACCTGACGTGATGGAGAGAAGACAATTATAGAAAGGAAAAAAGCAAACTGTGTCTTTCCTCTACGACTCTAAGTAATATTTAGACCACAAAGAAAAACATAGAAAAGAACAAAATAGAACCCCGACACGACCAAGATAATTTTAAGTAGTATAGTGACACTTGTTAAGCCTGTAAGCGATTTAACCTTTTTAACATAACCTAAGAAAAATAATATCACTGAGCTAAATCTACCAAACTACACTACTACTGCTACTATTTTCTCAAAATATATAATAATAATAATAATAATTGTATCTCTCTGGAATACACTCGTAGTCTTCTGGGTGGTGAAGGGCCGAATGAGTATTCTAATAGAATATTCTGGTGAAGGGGTTGGTACCTGCAAAAGGCACTCCAACGCTCAAGTCAGGACAAGCACGAGTATCTAGGATAATTAATGAACAGTGACGTTACCTTTTTACTTGAGTTATTTATACTGACATTTATGAGCCCTGACCCCTCTGGGCCCTATGACAAGATTACCATATTAGGTAATACGCCTCTAATCGGCTTATCAATGTGATTAACTCTTAACTCTTGATTAAGGATAATTCTTGTCCCCTGATTAATGATAGTTCATATTCCATAGGTATCCAATGGCCGATCAGCCGTCGGCCACCTGGTTCAGCCTTTTAGGTGCCGATTGGGTGTCGGTCACCTGGTTCGGTCTTTCAGGTGCCGATCGGGTGTCGACCATATGATGGCTGAAAGGCCTTGCCAGTACACTTGCCCCCCAGCCTTGGGGAAGTTGTACCTTCTTCAAGGGTATAGCGGTTAAGGTATGAGAGAAGTTGAAAGGTTAGGGTCATCATTGTCGTTGGATCTTGTAGATTTATTGGTTTAGGGTTTTAAATATTTGAATTTTTCCCGCCTTTCTCCATAGCTATATATAGCATTGTGTGGTAGGGCCTCTCACGCGTATCGCTTTCAGCCGAGTAGTATCATTTGAGCAAATCCGATCCAGCAGCACGTGTCGAGTGATCGTTTCAATCTCAACTTTCTGGTAAGTTTTATTGGATGGCTACTGCTTCCGAGAGCTCTTCGGCGAGTGGGGTTCGGTCATCATCGTCCGAGGGGTCGTTGTCTAGGGCTTCGGGGTCGTTGCGTAAGGAGACGTCATCGCCGAATGGGGACAGGTCTAGCGAGGACGTGAGTACTTTCGAAGAGACCTCAACCAGTGGGAGTGAAGAGGTGTTGATCCGAGTCAAGCGTATATCCCATCGGCAAAAGTATGGACCTTCCGAGGTACCTAGGTACGATTGGGTCAATGGAGAAGTGACTTCCTACTATTCTCGCTACCGAGATACCACCATGATAACCAACTTATTGGGGTACACCAAGTGTCTGTATTTCAACTCTGGCGAGAATCCGTATCCGATTGGCGTGCGTGCTTGCCGAAACAACGCATTTCCCGATCCGGACGTGGTGTGCTTGGATAAGCAAGCCGATAGGATGGCCTCGTTCTACATTTATGATTGCCTTTTGCGAGACCTTAAGGTGAGACTACCATTTGATGAGTTCACTATGGGAGTGCTTAAGGTCTTAAACGTTGCACCGACCCAACTACACCCGAACAGCTGGGCCCAACTTCAAGGTTTCAAGCATCTATGCCTATGTGTGAACATTAGGCCTTCACCTCTACTTTTTCTTTCTTTCTATTCGTCCCGCCCTTCAGATTTGGCCAAATGGGTGTCTCTTAGCCAAGTAGGGTCTCGGCAGCTATTGGATAGCTTTACGTCGTCGTACAAGAATTTTAAAGCGGGATTTTTCCGAGTGACCATTCGTCCGAACGGGAGGCGTTTCTTCTTTGGGGTTGACGACAATAGCTTTTTTCCGTTGTACTGGACCCGTGCCCCTCGACCGTATGATGTAGTGCCGGATGAGATGCTCACAGCCGAAGAGCAAAGGGATTTGCAATTTTTACTTCAACTTCCTAGGCGCTTGCTGACTAAGGCTTTAATAAACGTAGTTGAGTCTTCCCGATGGGAGAATGATTTGATAGGTATGTAACTTTCCTATTTCGGGCTTTAAGTAAATTCCTATTGATGTTTACTTGGTTATTGGTGCAGGAATCATGGTGACAAGTGGTGCCGATGAGTTCAACATCCGCAATCTTTTGGCTGGCCGGATGCAACAGGCTAGGGCTTCGGGGGTTGTGGGCAGTTCGGCGCTTGCCCAAACGCCTCGTCCAGAACAAGATGACCGAACTCCACCTACCCCGGAACGAAAACGCCAAAAGGTGAGGAAGGGGAAGGAGGTTATTCAGGAGGGGCCGAAGCGAAAAAGTAATGAGGAGAGGCCGGAAAAGACCAAGAAATCCAAGCACTCAGTGTCCTCTCCGGGTGGGACAATTATTTGTGTGCCCCCCATGCTAATGTCTAGGGCCTTTCTGAGTGAAGAAGTCACTGTCGAGTCACTGGTTCAACCAAACGCAGTCTCGGATCATGGCCACGAGTTCTTAGGCCAGTTGGATACCATGGCCAAATGGAAATATTTTTGTGAGGTACAGTCTCGGTCGCTGGCACTCGCGCATCACCTCGCTATGGAGCCAATCGGCGAGTTGATTCAATTGCGACAAAGGGTTGAGGATGCCGATAAGGCCACAGTCGAGGCCATGGCGGCTGCAGAGGAGGCATCCGCGAAAAGTCGCCAACTTGCAGCCGAGCTTGACGTGCAGCGGCGCAACAATGATACTCTTCGGTTGGACATGCAAAAAGCGGCGAACGAAGAAAAGCGCCGAATGGAGGAAACTAAGGCGGAACTAGAGCGGGTGAAAGGGCAAGCCAAGGAGCGTATCGTGGCCTAGCATGAAGCTGGGTTTCGCCATGCTCTTCGGCAAGCACAACACTTCGGTCGCTTTAGGGAAGGCTTTGAATTTGACATGTCGAAAGATTTCTACCAATGATCTTTTATGTCTTTTCAGGATATGCCCGAAGGGGCTGTCCCCGACAGCGACGCGCCGAATGATGACCTCGAAGATGAGGGGATTCCAGATGCTTCGGATGGTGAGGCTGAAACCCAACAGGAAGAGCCGAACCAAGATCAAGACGGCGAGCCCGAGGTGCAAGATGACGCGGGCAACAACACCGAAGAGTAATCATGTTGGGGACTTGGGTTTTTGTATGGTAGGCCGATAGAGCCTTTTTAATTTGATTGCAATTTACTTTTGCTTGTAATGCTGGCCGATAGAGCCTTTTGACGTTCATTAAATGACAAGTGCTTGTTTTTGAAGAAACTTGGAATTGGACTATGTATGACGTGCACTTTTATTTTGATTGTTTTTTGGAACATAACATTGGATACCT